GGGGACAGGGGAGAGCAAGGGGGGGAGGAGGGGAGAGGTGCAGACCCCATCGCTGCGAGAGGGGCTCAGGGGGAGATGGGGGGAGGCGAAAAGCAAAAACCCGAACAGAAACCCAAGGCAGAACCCACCCGGCCGAGCCCTCTTCCCACAGCAGCCCCCGGCACATCTGCAGTTTTGGTGCATTACGCATCTCCACCCCGTTCTCCCAACGCAGCGGAAACGCTCTCGCTCGGCTCGACCTTTCCCGGCGCTCCCTCTCGCTATCGATCCCGTATGGACAGATAGATCCAGGCGCCCGCCTCTATCCGTACATATACCGACACGGGCGGCCCGAGCGAGCCCGGACCGCGCGCGCGTGTGTGTGTGTGAGTGCGTGCGTGCGTGTGAGTGTGAGTGTCCGTGTCCGTGTGTGTGAGCGCGGCGTTCGCCGCCGCCGCCGCCGCCGCCGCCGCCGGAGCTCTCCCGGCCCGGCCCCGCGGAGCCCCGCTCACTGCACGCCGCTCTGCAGTCCGTGGTGAGGGGGCGGCGTGTCGGAGCTGACGGCGCCGACCTGCGAGTAGACATCGTCGGGGGTCTGCTGCTGGATCCCCGGCGGGGTCATGCGTTTCTCTTTCTGCCTCCGATTGCAAAACCAAACCCTGACCACCTCCTTCTCCAGCTGCAGGCTGTCCGCTAGGTTCGTAATCTCCTGGGCGGAGGGCTTGGGGCATTTCAGAAAGTGGCTCTCCAAGGCCCCCTTGACACTCACCTCGATGGAGGTCCGCTTCTTCCTCTTCCTGCCCTGCGCCGCGATCTTGTCGATGCTGGTGGGGCTGCCGGTGGAGGAGTCGGCTTCCTCCAGCCACTTGTTCAACAAAGGCTTCAGCTTGCACATGTTCTTGAAGCTGAGCTGCAGGGCCTCGAAGCGGCAGATGGTTGTCTGCGAGAAGACGTTGCCGTACAGGGTGCCCAGCGCCAGCCCCACGTCGGCCTGCGTGAAGCCCAGCTTAATCCGCCGCTGCTTGAACTGCTTGGCGAACTGCTCCAGGTCGTCCGAGGTCGGCGTGTCCTCGTCCGAGTGAGCCTCGTGGCTGTTGACGGCACCGTGGTGCGGCGCGTGGTGCCCGGGGTGCGGGTGGTGGTGATGGTGGTGATGCCCGGGGTGCTCGCCCAGCTCCGCCGTCTCGCCGCCGCGCACCAGCCCGGGGTGCACCAGGCTCTGCCCGCCGCCCGCGGGGCTCAGCATGCCGTTCACCGTGAAGCCCCCGGGCTGCGAGTAGAGGAGCGACTGCTGCTGCTGCTGCCCGCCGGCCATGGCGGGCAGGTGGGCGGCCGCCGCCGCCGCGCCCCAGGCCGCGGGGTGCCCCTGGTGCGGGGGGCCCAGGTGGGGCGGCCGGTGGTGCAGCGCCGCGCCCGCGTGCAGCTCCTCGCGCCCGCCGCCGCCCTTCACGTCGGGCGGCGGCGGCGGCGGCGGCTGCTGGGGGCTGCCCGTCATGCCCACGGGGCTGCCGG